TTGAAGATTATATTTTTCTAGCCATGATTATCTTAAAATAACCAGATTAGAGGGAGATTTTATTATATTAAATACTACTACACTATTATGATCTTTAATTGCTACATCTAAAGGAATAGTTTCATATGTAATATTTCCAAAAGATAACAAACGACCATCTATGACTTCTACATATACGGATTCAACTTTCTTCAATAAAGATATTTTTTGATTTTTGGCAAAATCTTTGTCTATAAAACATGTTGAGACTCCTGAATCTAACAAGGAAAGAATTTTGTAATTATTAGGTCCTAAATATATTTCTATTATAAAACAAGGTGAAGGGTTTGAGGAGAAGATAGAACCTCTACTAGGTGTTGCACATGTATCCAACTGCACAGTTCCTATTGTAATTGGAGAAACTCGTTTTTTGACACATTATCTTCTTTGGTAATTGTGTTCCTCATTTTATAATTGTATTGCTTCTTTAGACAATGTTGAGCAGTGTAGTTAACTTCTCCACAACATAAACACAACTCCTTTTGGTGACGTCGAGTCTTTTCCTGCTTTGTGAGAGGTTTAAAATGTATCATATCAATTTACATTGGTTCCGGCTTTGACGAATACGTTTCAAAAATCTTGGGAGCTGCCACCATTACTTGACTTATTCTTCTCCAATAAAATCTTTGTTCTTAACACCTTTCAAATAAACAATTGTTGCATGCAATGGCTTGAGTAATAAATTGTTCCAAAGATTCTACTTTTTCCATTATTAATAATAAATCTTTGACGCTATCCTTCAATCCATATCAAAATTGGTTGATAAATACTTTATCATTTCAGTCCACATCATAAGTGAGGTTTTGGAATTCAACAACATATATAGTGGCTGATCATGATCCTTGTCATAAGAATAAAAGCTTGGTCTCTGCTACTCATTCTTGATCACTTTCTCCAAATGTGGCTATAAACACTTATAGAAATGAATTCAAATCGTATAGGAGTCATAAATCTTTTTTTATTAAAAGTACAAACCAAAAGAGAGCATTTCTTGATAGTAGTGCACCTATGAATCTCACTTGGATAAATCCATCTAGATATTGGAAAGGGTGCAACCTTAGATAGAGCTTGACTTATTTCAAAAATCTTCAAAATTTTGATCTTGTTCCATCAAACTTCTCAAGCATACTAATCTTTGTCCCTATCATACTTGTAGAAGCAAAATTCCATGGATTTGGTTGTGACGTTGATCTACTTGCTTCTTTCAATTGCACAACTTCTTGCCACAGACTCTGAACTTCTTCCATAGGCATAGGCATAGTACCTCCATGATTCACATTAGAAATACGTGAGATTTCTTCTCTTAGAATATTGATAAGGTCATGAAGATCTGCCATAGTTGTAAATCTATTCTCACTTCCGTTGAGAGTAGCATCCATAATCTTTCCTTCCATAGACAACTCAAAAAAATTCAAAAATTAAATTAGAGGAAGATAATCCGCAACGTCTAAAAACAAATTCTACACAGAGGGATAATCCACTCTCTTTAAGGAAAAGATTAGTGTTAAAAAATAAATTTTTTTGTTTAAAGGTGGGTAGTCCGCAATCTTTAAAACACAACAATAGAAGTGGAGTAATCCACTCACTTCTAAAACAAGACAGAAACAATATGTTAGCACTCTTATCAAACTATAAATGGCATGAATCTCGAAGAAAGAGAATCCTCAATACACTCTTCTATCATTGAAGAGAACTAGAAAGTCATTGAAAATGTGATGTAATATTAACTAGAATGGCTAATGCCAAAAAATAAGAAGTCTAGAAAGCCCTAAAACAAGACTAAGACTAAAAAGACATTGAGAAGAATGAAGAAGGCTTCACTCTTGCCTCCATATATATTATCTAACTAAGAGCTACGTGGCAATGTTTTATATGACCTCCAACATGTGTTGACTTTGCTAGTCACATGTCTTATCTTGTAAGGCAAGTTATCTATGTATGTGCCATGTAGTTGGCTTGTTCTACAAGCTACTACACAGAGATAACTTGTTCCACAAGCTACCAATACATGGTTAGCTTTTTGGCCAAGTTTGTAACCTACAAACATATCTAAAGTCAAAACTATGTCTATGAAGCTTCTAGGAAGCTTTTTTAGAAGACTTTATGAAATTATTTTATATTTACTTACATCTACTCAATCATATAAGTAACTATTGAGGTAAATGTATATGTTAGTGACAGTTTGTAAGTCAAGGGCAACAACTTTGAGAGGTTAGAACTTGGTGTCTATTAGACCTATAGTTATAAGATTTAGAATGTAGTTATTTTGTTAAGTCAAAAATATAATCACAAAGTTTAAAGATATATTCAAATTTGATTTAGGAGATATATATAAAAGAGTAATTAGGTATAGGATTGTGAAGTTAGTTTAAGAGATTTACTTGCTATTCATAATTTAAGTTAGTAATCACTTTAAAAATTAGAATATATAAAGAAACTGAAATATGCCATTTATTGCAAAAGGATTAAAATCATTTCATTGATTTTACATTGAAATATAAAAGTTCATAAAGAAGTAGGACAAATTAAGTATAAGTAAGCGATTTGGATGATAACCTAGTATTAAAAAAAATAAAGATGATAATAGAAACTAATTAAGACATACATAAGCAATAAAGATCTATATATTAAGAAGCTTTGTGCTTTCTCAAACTACTAAGAAACTTCTTGACAACATCTTTTTTGTCCTTAGTCTTGTTTCAAGAATTTATAGTTTTTTTTTTTTTTTTTTTTTTTTTATCTTTAACAATAGCTATTATAGTTTAAAATTATACTATCTTTGAGTGATTTTTTAGTCTTTTCTAGTGACATAAGAGTGTATTTATTCTTTAGTTTCTTTTGTTTCATGTCTTTAATAGTTTGATAAGAGTGCTAATTATCTATTATTGTTTTGTTTTGATAAAAAAATCATGATCAAAACTAAATCCTAAGATAAAAAATCATGCATCTGTAATAAATATAAGATTCTTTTGTTGATTGGAGAGTAGGATTGAAGAACAAAGTTGATGAGATTTCTTTAAGCATTAGTTTTGAGAGATTTGAGTAGATAATGACTTTGTAAAAGCCATGCAAAGTTAAGATTATTTTTAATCACTTTGTTTTTTATTGAATAAAAAAAAATTACATGTTATTAAAATATGTGACTATTATAGAAAATCTTCCACTTAAAAGATACTTATTTGTGAATTTAATTATATTAGATATACGTTATAGATTTAAGCTTAATTATAAGTTTAAATAAAAGATTCTTAAAATTTAAGTAAATTAGGATCTCAAAAATTGGATTGCAAAAGTTAAAGAGGGTTTCTATGATTATAAGTAAAATATTACTTATATATTCACATATATTTGTAATAATTTATCTTTTTTCTTCACAAATAAGATAAGAGCTCTAATTGGAGATTTCAAATAAAGTATGAAGTTCTTAGTCACGTTTTGGTTAATGTATTACTTAAGTGTAGCCAACTTATTTTGTAATAAGCTATAGATTGATTCAAATAGAGGTTCAAAACTTTTTAGAGATTATTTGAAAATTTATTAAGATAGTACTTTAAAAAATGATGTACATTTTTTTTAAAAAAAAATCTTGATAATCTTAATACTTGCTTAAAATGCCACTTGATGTCTTTCCACTATTAGAAATGGATGTAATATAAATAGTAAAAATTAATAGTTTTTTTACAACATGCATGAAGACTCTTATTCCTATCAATGAAGGTTTAAACTGATGACTTTTTATTTGAAAAATAGTGGTTTAGGTTATGCTATGAAAAAAATCAAGGTTATATAATAAAATTGATTTATTTAAAAATTATATATATAATAAAAAATAATATTAAATGGTTTCTTAATACCTTTATAAATTTTACCTATATTTTTTAGAGTAATTTTTTATTATTTTTTTTAATTAAGTTCTTCTATAATATAATTTTCTTTTAACTAATAATTATATTACAATACAATAATGCCACTCTTTTTTATACAATACTGTAAGTTATGATGCAATTAGATGTGATTTCACTTTCATTGTGAATTATAAAAGATAGTTCCAAACTCCTTGTAGTAATGCCTTGAAAATTTTGTAGGTTCATCTAGATTAAGCTCTTACCTCTTTTGTTGAGGAAACTATAAAGGCTATTTCTTATAATTTTTTGGATGAGAAATAAATAAGTAATATATGTACAAATTTGCAAAGGTTATTAAACACATGCATTGCAAGTGTGGTGCAAGTGTAGAGATTTTTATAAAAATGCATGCAAGAACTTCAATGAAGTCATTAATTTAATCATAAGTGTACCAAAATAGCCAAGATAAGGTACTTAAATATTTGCATCTTTAAAAAATATACAATTATTTTTTATAAAACTTAAAATAAACCATATATTTTATTTGTTTTCAAAAAACTTAGTTGTTTGAGTTTTAACTTTTTTTTTATATGAGTACATTATAATTAAAAATTATTCCTAACTTGTATTCAAAGAACTAAATTAAAAAGTTATAATAGTTAGAAGTATTTGGACAGTCAACCTTCACACTCTTTAATAGAACACACAAACAAACTTAAAAATAGTGTTCAAATTTACAACTCTGGCTAAAGTAACAAACACAGGCCAACATACAATGAAGTATTATGCGCTTCAATCTTACTCTGCATGAGTTGACCCCAACTGCCCGGTAAAGAAAAGAAAAGAAAAAGTAAAAGTAAATAACGGTCAGGCATGTGGGAATGAGGAGATCTAACCTTCCCGTCGAAGTCACCTCCGAAGTCTTCATTCATCTATGAGCGCGCATAATTCATCCATTTAATAACATGTTTCATCCTGAGTTCCGTTCCATTCAACGAATGAGGAATCGAACCTAAATTATGTTGGGGTATATTCATCCTCTTCATCCATCCAGACATGTAGCGTCACGGCTCCAGTCCAAGCTCTCTCCGCATCCCCGAAATGTGCCGGCACAACGGGGCCAATGCAAAATTCAATGCAAAGCACAACATAAGAAGACCGGCACGCGATCTGCGCGTGCAGCATCAGCACACAATCTCGACGCCCAGGCCCGCGGATTTTGAGTCACTGCGTCACGAATTCGCAACCTGGTGCTGTGCGTAGTGGCGAGGATCTGTTAACGGGTGTGTGTGCTGCAGAGGAGGTCGGAACAACTGACGGTGAACGATTCTAGCTGTGAGTGATATCAAAGCTTTTCCTGGCTATGGCTCTGGCTCTGGCTCGGTTGTAGTTCGTGGTTTGTTGGTGTGAATGTGCGTGCGATGGAACTGAGGCGTGAGGTTTGAGTCTCAAAGCGCAGTAGGTTAGTAAGAAATAGTGAAATGCGGTGATGGTGGTGCCCGCATCGCGGCCTTAGCGGATTCCTTCTGCTGCTTCTGCTTCTCCTCCTCCTCTTCCTCCTCTTCCTCGTCTGTCCGCGGTTGGGACTGTTTCTGATAGACAAGGTATCGGTGGCGGTGGTGCCTTGCGGGTGATTGCAATCATCGGCTAGCTCTGTGCTGCTGTGCTCTCCAGGTTGCGTGGATTGGGGGTCGTGGGACTGCGTCTGTGAGTCTCGTCGTACATCCTTCGAGCTTTACCTTCTCGCCTCTGCTCGCTTTTAACCGATTCCTCAACTTTCGATTTCTTTGTATAGTCTCGATGTGGCGAGAGAGAGAGGAGAGAGAGAAAGTGAGAGAGAGAGAGCGAGGATGGTATATCGATTGCCGTGGCACGGCTGCGATCGATGTTTATGTGGTGGACCTTTGGGCTATTTGAGCATTTTGTAGACATTCGACTAGCTCGTGCTGGTTTCTTTAACAATTGGTTTGCGTGCATCTCAGCATGGTATGGGAAGCCTTTGTGCACGCTAGGGTTGGGGATGCTCCGCGTTGTTTGATTGGATCTAATCGTGTTTGGTTGGAGAATATTTGATAGATTGATTGGTTCATGACATCAAATGCCGACTTATCGACCTTGTTGTTGGTTATACGTTACGATCAATCATTGAATTGTGGTGAGCATGCCGGAATTGACGGGTTTACTAGCGTCCAGGATAGAACAACTTCTGTTTCCTGTTTTGTTTCGGGAGGAGTACTCTAACGCTCATGATTGGGGTCCTCTTTCTTTAATTCTACCTCTGCGGCGGTCTATTGTTCACTCCGAATAGTGATTGATGACATTCTTCTTGATTTGTTTTCCGACTTCGTCAGTTTCTCTCAGACATGCACATATTATCCAGTCTGGATGATGTTAGGTATTGGCAGATTCTCTGTACTTGAGATCATTCGACGTTGTTGCGGAGTTCGTGCCCACTGCCGAAACTGAACAGATTAAATGTTCAGTAAACGAAGGAACGAAAGCCTTTGTATTATGCTTCCCTGAGAGGTTTCTCAGTAGACCTGTAATTGCCACTCTCAATTTTAAACCTAGGGGCACATCATTGAAATCAGTCATGACCTCTCATTAGGTGGAACAATGGTGTTTGCCTAACACCTTATCACATCTTTCGAAAGAGATTTACGCACTCAATACACAACCGAATTTTTAATCGCTAACTTTGCTCTTTGTTCATAGATGAAATCTATTTTCCTCTCAGTAGATTTGTTAACCACCGTGTTAACCGAGGTCGTAAAATTACGATTTAAGGAAGTGTTTCAAGCACTGTGCATTGTAAACAGGTTTCCTTTCCGTTCTACTTGTGTGTGGCGCTTCCACCTACGAGGTTCGTAATAAGATTTTGGAGTAAGACCCTTATAGTCTGGATGGGATGGGTTGGGATGGTATCGTATGGGATATGAGGTGATAGGAATATACTCTACTTAAGTGCCTACTACAAAAGTTGTGTATTGGTCAGTTCTAAATTTAGCAGTATTATAAACTGCGAATCATTAAAAGGGTTAGCAATTTTTTTACATTGCTACTCATTTTTAGCATTTTTTTGAAAATATCTATTATCTTAATTTCGATACAACTTCTTCAACCAAGAAACCCGTGTAAGAATTGAGAACTTTGCACCGAGGTGTCTTTGGAGGTGTTCAATATGAAAATTTCAATGTTGAAGTGCAAGGGTTGGTCATCGCCTTCAAATTGCGAAAAGTTGTTCACTAGAATGCTTTGCAGCTTAGTTTACATGGTGGAATTGAGCCCTCGCACTTATTATAGTGCATTATACAATCTTTCGATTGCGTATTGAGTGTGTAAATTTGAGAAGTCTACATCTTTTCAATCAGATTGAGTACAGCAAGGTCTTGATCCTGGGCCAAGTCTGAAGGCTAATTATCTTTCTAGGGGTACGGAGGACAATGTTGAGCTACAAGATGCATCATTTTGCTCTCTCTCATTACTGCCTTCAGTTTTGTTTAATTGGAATGTGAGCTGTAAAGTGTGACCGTTGGTCGAGAATCTGATTCAATTTCTTTTTCTTGTTCCAGTTAGTTGGTTTGTAGTCATTTTAGCGGTAACCTTCTCCATTACGGGTGGGTTCATCGAACTGAATCGTGTGACCAGTAATCTGTTTTACGATACAAGACCCTAAAATACTGTGATGAAATCTGAATTGGGTCTCATGTTTAACTTTTTGCCCACAGTAGACTTTGCTTGGGCGGGTCCAGTGCTTGTCTGCAGGCGGATCCAGGACAGGAGAAGACATAATGACGAAGGAGGATGCTGTCAAGGAGACTCCTAAAGAGATTTTTCTTAAGGATTATAAGGCACCAGATTATGCTTTCCAAAAGGTGAGTTGCCTGCAGTAATTTGTAAACTGTGTTCTGGGACTGACTGAATCATTGGCAATTTTGTGCGCCTGTACTCACAAATAAGCCTTCAGATTTTCTAAAAAAATTATGCTGCCCCTGAGCTGCCACAGCGCTCATGATGTCATCATAGATCTTGCACATGATATGAAGCAATAATCCGTTAGCTGTTGAATGCATGAGTGGTTACACAGTATTTTAATTGAAGGTTATGATACGTTTTCTGCAGGTGGATTTGATATTTGTGTTGGGGGAAGATAAGACGCTCGTGACATCCAACATCCGTGTCATTCCAAACTTTTCTGGTAATGATTGTAGAGTCAAGTATAGTTTGGGTAATCAAATACAGCTCCTATGGGCTTGTTATTGTCATCTTTACGTGCAGTCACGTTCAGTCAGCAGATGCATTAAGTTTTGTCGTCACATAGTAAGCCCAGTGGCTTTTCTTCATTCTGTGTCATAACTGAGGGCTTATGAGTAAAGTATGAGATCTGTCTCTGCTTCACATTCCACTACCTAAGCTGTTTGATGATTTGTCTGTTTATCCTCTGCTCACAGATGGTGCTCCTTTGATACTCGATGGTGAAAGGTTGAAATTGGTCACTTTGAAAATTAACGGCTTGCATGTCTCGGTACGATTGTCTAATTACCTTCACCTGTTTTCTGACCCTGGATAGGTTGGGCAGTATGAAGCCAAGTTTTATTGTAGTTTTTATTCTAACCTCCTCTGTATGTGAATATAATTCATTTCTTTATGTTCAGACTCAGCATGCACTGCTTTTGTCGTATGGTTCGAATGTGGAATGGTTTTCCTCAACTTACGTTTGGTCACATCTGTCATCATGTCATGCAGAAAGATAATTATAAGGTTAGTGCACGGCAACTGCACATGACATCGTTGCCTACTGGTTCTTTCGATTTGGAAGTTGTTGTGGAAATTGAGCCACAAAATAACACTTTTTTGGAGGGACTGTATAAGTCGACTGGCAATTTCTGCACTCAATGTGAAGCAGAGGGATTCCGCAAGATCACCTACTTCCAGGTATGGAGTCTCATTTCAGCTTATATTTTGGTGTTGTGAATACTTTGGGATTGAGACACACAATCTTAAGCCGATGCTCGATTTTATTCTTGCAGGATCGTCCAGATGTAATGTCCAAGTTCACTACACGTATAGAAGCTGATAAAACTCTCTATCCAGTGTTGTTGAGCAATGGCAACTTGGTTGATGAGGGTGATTTACCTGTAAGTTGCTCAATTACTATGTCACGTTTCTTATTTATTACGCAATTTTTTTACCCTCTACATGTAATTAAATGAACTTCAACACTAGATCATTCAGATTAGTGAGAATACTTTGGTGCGTTATCAGCTGAATATGAAAATTGTTAACCTGGGGATGTGACTAATTTTTGTTAATCTAGCATGAGGACATTAATACAAAACGCTACATTATGGATTTAAATGCTTTAAAAATCCACATTTTTCTTCGATGACGTAAAATGACGTCGGATGTTTTGAACCAGTAGATGTATGATGACATGTTTTAGCATAGTTTAACCAACATGCTTCCGGGTTGCAGGATGGTAAGCATTACGCAGTGTGGGAGGATCCATGGACAAAGCCGTGTTACTTGTTTGCTCTTGTGGCTGGCCATCTTGTGAGTCGGGACGACTCTTTTACCACAATGTCAGGACGCAAAGTGGCTCTTAGAATCTGGACTCCTCCACAAGATTTTTCTAAGACTGCTCACGCAATGAAATCTTTGAAACTGGCTATGAAGTGGGACGAGGAGGTGAATATTTATCCATGGTCTAAAATTGCAACTGTAAAGCATTGCCTAAAGTCAAATAAGAGAATAGAAGCATTACTACTTTGTGTAAATAGGAGTTGATGTTGACTCAATATGCATCTGGTGCTTTATGTCTTGTCATAGGCTGGAATTTAGACCTAACTATTGAGGGTTGAGAAACCTTTTGTGGAGTGACCTGTTCATATGTAGTAGCAGGTATGAATATTTCAAAAGAACCATTGGGTTTGATTATTATGTAAGCACAAGTTACTTCCGATCTCATGATGTCAGTAAGCAGGTATTTGGTTTGGAGTATGACCTGGATCTCTTCAACATTGTTGCTGTGCCGGACTTCAACATGTAAGTGTGCAAGATTTCACAGTTCGCCACCTTTTTCCAAGCACTTATGTCTCCTATGATATTAATGAAATCTTGTTTTGAAAAAGATAGTTAGTATATGGTGATTCAATTTTAGCTCGTGACCATCCTTATGAGAAGTTAGCAAATCACATTGGAATGGATGATGGGTGACAGGGGCGCTATGGAAAATAAGAGTTTAAATGTGAGTTTTTTTATCTTATTTTTATGTTTCAATACTATTACTACTCGGATAGCATATGCCGATATTGCTGCAGTTTTGAGTGGTGTAGCAGTTCCTTCCAAGATGACTGATTATTCTCCCTGTCCCGGTGATATCATCTATTTATTTCGAACTCGAATAGCGTGGTTGAATCATAGACTGGAGTCGATGTTTAGAATATCGTTCGTTTGAGAAGTATTGACGATTTGTCTCATGTGAGAATGTTTGTACAGATTTTCAATTCAAAGCTGATACTGGCATCCCCTGAAACAGCCACAGATGTAGACTATGCTGCTATTGAAGGTGTGATTGGCCACGAGGTATATATCTTTGCCTTGTTTCTATGCTGCTGCTAAAGTGCCTTTTGAATAGTTGGACACCTGTAAAATCATTGATACGGGCTTGATTTTTTGAACCACTGACTTATACACTTTGTGTTCTGTATCCTATCTGAACTGGGTACGCAGTATTTCCACAATTGGACTGGCAACCGGTATGCCCTCCCGTTCTCTTCCACATACCTATTGTCGACTGCAGTAATCAGATTGCACTTCATTCTCTCTGTAGGTCGTGGATGTTTTGGAGCAATGGTTTCGTTGTATTACTGGTTTTTGTTTTCCAAAACTTGTGCCACTCACCGAAAGTCGAGCTCTTATAACTGTTCTTTTTGTATCTGGGCAGAGTGACATGCAGAGATTGGTTTCAGCTTAGTTTGAAAGAAGGTCTCACTGTCTTTAGAGATCAGGTGACAATTCCTTACATATATCAGTTGTAGAAATTTATTATCGGTTCTCAGTTTTGTATCAGGCGTGGAATATTGTTTTGTTCCTTTGAAACTAAGTATGTACTAGGGTATTTTAATGTACCCTTTACAAATCTTCATTTGTTTTGATTGCATGAAATTCTCGTACTATTCAACTGTATTGACGTTAATGCTTGTTTCATGAATGTCCATTTCAGGAATTTTCTTCTGATATGGGTAGCCGTGCAGTAAAACGCATTGCTGATGTGGTTCGGTTAAGGACAATGCAATATCCTCAGGTTCTAATATGACTTGATTTTCTTGAACTTTGTAGTAATACTGCTATTTGGTGATTTGACTTGGTACTACAAACTAAAATATCTAGATTAGAGTTTCACACTTCCTTCTGGAAGTTCGAATGCTGTTGTTTGTGTGAATGCTACTTTAGTTGAATATGATATTCCCCTCTGAAGGTACTGTGGATTGTATTCCTTCTCCTCAGATGCATTGTTTTAGTTTGTCAAGGACTTAAACCTACTCTGAGCGTGTCTCTTAACTTTTGGCAGGATGGTGGTCCAATGGCACATCCAGTACGGCCGCATTCCTACATCAAGATGGATAATTTTTACACGGGTCAGGATGTCTAGTCCAAACCTTTCGTATCTTGGTAATTAAGTTTGTCTAGTATTGATATATTTTGTCTCCTTGAAAAATCATGTTTAAGTAGTACGTCTTTATGAAGCTTTTCTAACTTCCTTCTTGTTGTGACTGGGTTTTTCTTCCGCCGAAATTCTTTTCTGCTTACGATCCTGCAGTCACTGTAAGTGTTAAGATTTACACCCTCAGTAGTTTATTTTCATAATTTTTCGGTCTATTGTATGGTCGTTTGACTCTAAAAAGGATTCTAAATAATGATTCTGTTGTTCGCATGTTGATGCCGTTGCGGTCATGGCGCTTCCCATTGGACTGCAGGTTTATAGAAAGGTACTGATTAATTACTTGATTTCATGATGATTTCTCTTGCGGCTGTGGCGCTTTATTTACTTCAGGTTTATGAAAAGATAGTGCTTTCAGTATTAATTTCACATGTTTTGGATGCAGGGTGCCGAAGTTGTACGTATGTACCAGACTTTGCTAGGGAAGGCTGGTTTCAGAAAGGTTTAAATTCTTTGCCTCATTTGGATAGGCTCTGTTTTGCCGTTTTGACGTTATTTTATTTGTCGGCTGTTCTGTTTTCGTCCTTGCTATGCTATTTTCTCCGAGTTGTTATTAATCTGGACATTTTCCATTTTTGTGAGTAATCCAAGGTTCATAAATTTTATGGAATATCTGCCTTCATATGCATGAGGCAATAACAGTTTGTTATTTTCTGAGGCTTCAGGGTATGGACTTGTATTTCCAAAGGCACGACGGTCAAGCGGTCACCTGTGAGGAGTTCCTGGCTGCCATGTTCGACGCCAATAAAGTGAAGTTCCCAACATTTCCTCTTTGGTAAGAAGCAATCTGTTGTGGTGGAAATGCTATTGGAAAATCATTTTTTACAGGTTAGAGTTCGAGTGTAGCGTTGTGGCTATTCTCAACATTCATTGTCAATAGTGGGTGCACTTCGGTATACATATGAAGTTCTCTGTTGACTTAGTTCCTATTACTGAGTAAGCTTTCGGATTTTCAGGTACGCACAGGCGGGTACTCCAACTCTGACTGTGATCACCTCGTACGACGCTGATGCTCAAACGTTCACCATCAAGTGCAAGTACGTGCTTCCATTCCTTTTAGTACATGTAGGGTACTGCTGTGGTGGAATTTTTGGATTGTTGCACATTTAGCAGGTGGGTTGAAATTAACGATTAAAGAGTTTATATGCGAACTTGACTCACTTAATGGAACAAATTTTTTTTAGCTTAAGTTGCGTCGATAATTGCAGGAGATCGCATTCTTGGACCATGTTCTGTTAGATCTCGAACTTTAGAATTACTTGATGTAGCATGTGTCAGTTTGGTGTTGGGTTCTCTAAATTCAATCTCTAATTGTGCAGGCAGGTGGTGCCGCCCACTCCGGGACAATCAAAGAAGGAGCCGATGCTTCTACCTCTGGCCGTAGGCCTTCTTGACTCACACGGGCACGACATGCGTCTTACGTCTGTGAAAGACGGAGCCTCACTGCACCATTTGACAAGTGCAGATGGTGACTACACCACTACTGCTGTACTACATGTTGACAAGGTATGTTACAGGATGGGGTTGATCTTCAATAGAATCTGGGATGCAACAAGCAGGGCATAATAGTGTAGTAACTTGCTTGCTTGTTCAATCATCATTCAATTGTGTCTTCTGCTTATATTGCATGAGGTAAAAATATTGCATTCTCACTGTGTTAATAATTACAGACTGAACAAGAATTTACATTTATGAATATCACGGAAAAGCCAGTTCCATCATTGCTGCGTAATTTCAGCGCACCAGTGCGTCTAGTATCTGATGTTACAAATGAAGATCTTTACTTCCTCCTTGCTCATGATTCCGATCAATTTAACAGGCAAGAGCTAGTAATCTACCGATTGTGTTTGATTTTAGTGTACCTCAGAAATACATATGTACTGATAGAGCTTAGAATGCCGCTAGTTAATGTATAAGAATTCTAGGGTTTTTATTTTTATTTTTATCTTTATTTTATTTTCCCACTTGGGTTGATATGACCGTCGGATTTCTTACTCCTTGTTATGATGACAGGTGGGAGGCTGGTCAAACTCTCAGCCGAAAGCTTATGTTGGACCTGATCTCAGCTCATCAGAGAGGAGAGAAGATCAGCGTTGACAGTGCTTTTATTAAAGGCATTCGAAGTATTCTGTTGGATTCGTCTCTTGACAAGGTGTGTGGGAGAGTGAGCTAACACTTTCCTGTGTGTGTTAGCTTCTCACCTTTTAATTGTAAACAAGAAACCTTATGTGAGATTATATATTGGAGTATGGTTTGTAATGATGTGTGTAATAGTTCCTTATCTATGTCATTTTTGCAGGACTTTGCGGCAAGATGTTTGACTCTACCTGCAGAAGGTGAAATTGCGGACCTCATGGATGTGGCTGACCCAGATGCTGTACACATTGTTAGACGGTTTGTCGTCAGAGAGGTTTCCGCCTGTCTTCGTGAGGACCTACTTAACACGGTATGTGCAGCTTTTTCGTGCTTTTTCTTTGCGAAATAATTTACGCTTGCATCATAATTATGGATGCAAAGTGTAGCCAAACCACAAGGTCCATGTATTCAACAATGAGAAAGGTTTCAATGTGAAAAAGGTATCCTAAACATCTGAATGTGGAAAAACTATTTTAATCCTACAATCATAATCCTCGTAAGTCTTAGTTAAGTTAGCAGGCAGTCACGCGCCGAGGAGAATGCAAAGAAAATGGTGAACAAAAGAGAAAAAAGGAAGAAGAGGTCTTAGTATATACCTTAAACATTTAGGTGGTATGATATCGACAAGTTGTCATGCGGCATAGTGTAGCATTAGTGATCAGTAATATGTACAGCGTTTCCAAAACTGTACTTATATGATCCCAATATTCCCTTTAAAATAGCGTCTATACTTGCGTGTTAATTCTTTAATATGTCTGCAATCTTTGTAGTTTAATATTTTAGTATTACTGTTATTATTATCTTTTCCTATTGACTTAAAATTGTTGTTGGCACAGTTGACGCGATTCGTGAAGATCTCCAGATCCAGCAGTTAAAATGTTTTTTTATGTTGGAAATGCAGGTCAAACTCAACAGAAGTTCAATTGCATATGACCCTAGTCATGAGCACAGGGCACGGCGTGCTTTGAAGAATGTTGCTTTAGGTTAGATAGATATTTTGACCTTTGTGCTCTTAAGTCTGATTATCATGAAGCTTTTTATCTGACTTCGTGTGTTGACATCGAATTTGAACAACAAAAGTTATTGCGTCAGTGATCTGCATGGTAACATTTTTGCAAGTCCAAAAAGTTTTCCTTCAAGAGGTTGCTATTCTAGGCACCAATGATTACCATTCGATAGGTTCATTATATCGAACATGTTGTCAACTTGGATGCTTTCATGAATATTTTTTCTATGCTGTTTGCAGGTTACTTGGCATCTTTGAATGAACCTGAGACCATAGACGTGGCAGTAAACGAATACAAGATTGCCTCAAATATGACCGATCAATTAGCTGCTCTGAACGCTATTTGCCAGAATCCTGGGAATTTACGATCCAAGTCCCTGGCAGATTTCTACGAGCAATGGAAGGAAGAGGCCTTGGTATGTTCTCAAAACTATTCAGAAGTGATGATTCTGATCTACTCAACCAGCTAGTTCATTTTTATCCCTCCTAATACGACTTGGGGTATCGGACTATTTGTGCCAACAGGTCATGAACAAATGGCTAGCTTTGCAAGCTATGTCTGATATCCCAGGAAATGTGGAGAACGTGCGGCGTCTGCTAGACCACCCCGCTTTTGACATTCGGAATCCAAACAAGGTATGTTTCTGCAGTTCCGCTTGTTTTGCTAATTTCAAGCTTTCATTATAAGTTCCAGCTTACTATTCTATTTGGAGATCTTTTAACAACTTTCGGTTTCACAGGTTTATTCCTTGATTGGTGGTTTTTGTACATCTGCCATAAATTTCCACGCCAAAGACGGTTCAGGATACACGTTTTTGGCTGACGTCGTTCTCCAATTGGATAAACTGAATCCTCAGGTTGGATTTGCACATTGTGACATCGACAAATCTGCAAGAGTTTAGTCGATTGTGTTATGAATTCAGTGCTGGTGTAGAGTTTGGTCTTTTTTGCTTAGTGAAGGATAAACCACATGCTTTTAGTAGTAACTAGTGAACATATCTGTTTTAAAATTTCAAGTAATTTTTCAAGTCTATCTAATTAATTACAGGCACTTAATTTTTCTCTAAATTTTTTATTTGATGGTGGTTTTAGGTTGCATCCCGCATGGTGTCGTCTTTCTCTAGATGGCGTAGATTTGATGAAGAAAGACAGGCATTAGCCAAAGTAAGTTTCTGCTAACGATGACCAATATCATTTCTATTTGCTTGAAACCTTTGTCAGATCTTGCACCATCAATTTTTAATCCAGTATTTCCATACATTGTATCCTATGTAGAGTATTCATAGGCAGTTTATACGGGGACATTTGCAGGCACAACTGGAGCGAATTACAAGCCAGAACGGCCTTTCGGACAATGTTTTTGAGATCGCCTCGAAAAGTTTGGCATCTTAGTAAGTGAAGGATAAATGACCCGTGTAGTACTATTTTCTTTTTGAAAAGAGGCTTGTGCGGAATGTGCCAAGTACCTTGAACCCTGCGACTTCTGCAGCAGTCGTTTTTTTCTTGAAAGAATTTGTGTTCAACGGGTCACACCTTGCATTTTGTCACATCTTGAAAGGAATTTTCTCTCTCAAAATGGACATTGTGAAACTGTTGGATGCATTCTTTTGGGGCAATCTTCTGCTTGTGCCTTGTACTCCAATCGTCAATCTCATTAATGATAAATTATTGAACCCCACCCGTGTAGTTATGTGTTCATTTTCCTACATTTTACTTGTCCCATTTTTTTTCTGGGTAATACATAGATCAAGCAAATAATCATTATACTACCATTTGGGTGCTGAAACTCAGTAGTAGAGGATGAGTTTTGTATTTTGTGCAAAGATTCTTTCTGGGTAATACACAGATTCTCAGATTTTGTGATATCTTCAAATGATAGGAGATACAGATTGGATTACTAAGCAACTAGTGACTTCCTATCCTCTCTATAACCAAATTTCCAATTAAGAAATATCCCAAAATGGTACATATATGAAAAACTTTACATACTCTGCAATCACCTTCACATGCAAAATTGCCACAAAAGATAAAAATTAAGCTTCAGAGTAAGAGACTGGATGCACTGCAATGAGTAGCATCCTATTATAGCTTTTCAACCAGCTTCCAAATTAGACATACACCATTTATTTTAATTTTTAAAATTTCACGTAAGAGAGTCCACTTAACTATTTTCATTTGATCCAGACCTCCTAGAACCTGGTACAGCCAACTACAGAGCTTCCCTTGTCAAACCATTGTGCAAATCACAGGTCTGAGAAACCAATTCATAATAATGATGCAATTTGCTGTATTCTCCAAGAACAGTGCTGAATTGATGCCTATCATCAAAATTGAACTACAGGATTGCAGAAGGAATGCTATTCAGGAATGATGGTCTTTGACAGAGCTATATATATATATATATATATATATATATATAAAAGCTTATCATATCAGCTGTTATATTGAATGCTAAGTCAAACTTCCAATCTAATCTCTGCCTGCAGAATTATGAGCTCAGGAAGAATCAAGCTTACCATTTCTTCTATGCCTGCATTAGAAGTGCCCAAGCATAGATTTAGAGTGCCCACCATAGGACCACTCAATAAAGGCAGCACAAGTTTGTTTTTTTGCTTTTTTTGTTTTTTGTTTTTGAAACTAACGAAGAAACTTCATTGCCATTTGAATAGTATTCAAGACCAACCCCAGCTGAATACAGCCTGGGTACTGACCCAGAAAAGAATATGACCCACTCTGATAGAGGGACTTAACCCTCTATGCTACTATATCATTAAAAGTAATGTCATTACACTCTATCCAAAGAGTTTACACAATGCAAATCTATTGCCAAATGTTATAGAATTGAGCAAATTTCTGGGGGAGTTGTTTAGAGAAGATCCCTTGCCTCTACAATAATGGTTGCCAAAGGCCTTGTGTGGATATACTCTGCCACCTCTTTCTCCCTCTTCAAAGGTAGATGTTTATACCAAGATTGAAGGATGTACTACCTGAAGGCAGCAAGATGCAAGGAGGGCTGTGAACAAAGAAGCTTGGACAATAAGACTAGTGCCTTAGATGACTTCCAAATAGATTTTTCTAGCCTTAGATGGACTTAGCCACACTTGGCTAGGCATTGCTGGCAAAGGAAGGAAGTAGTAGCCAATCTAATTCCTTGATCTGATTATGAAGTAATCAAGATTATCCAAAGTGAGGCTCCATAGATTTTTGAGAGTGCAAAACCACAATTTTCTAAGCTCTATATTTAGCTGATAAGAATTCAAACTTTGCCTTGACTTTAGATGCCAAGAAAAATTATCCATTTACTTCACCATCTTTGATTCTTGTAATCTTGTTCAATGGAAGTAAAAAGTTTTTAATCTCAAGAATTTTTGTCCTATGAGTGGCAAAGAAGCAAAAATATATAGTAGTTCATAATCAATTTCTTTCAATAGCTGGGGAAGAACATGCTCTAAGTCCATTGCCATAATCTGCCATGCTGAGCCAATACAATTTTAAATCATTGATCCTTGCTTTACTTGATACTTTGGTAAAATAAAGTACCTAAAATAGGATTGTGACTATCTCAAACTATATAGTTGAAATCTTAAAAGCCTATATTACAATAAAGCATGGAGATTCAAAGACTTTTGCTTACATGCCTTCAAGGTCCATTTGGTCATGAGAGGGGCCAAAGTATCCAGAGGATTTATCATATAAATACTCCTAGAAAGCTTTGGCTATCAATATTATAGCCATAATACCTTTGACCTTGCTCTATGTAATGTATCAGATCACATATATCCTTGAATTTTAGATTGAATCTTATTAAGTCCAAACTTCAAACATCTCTATATAGAAGCAAAAAAAATAAAAAAAATAAATAAATGATAATATGATACTATTTGCTATGATTTTTCTTTTTATGAAATGAATTTTAACTATGCTCTAATATTGTATTTTTTTATCAAAATTTTCTTACAAGAATTTATCCATGTCTTTTGTAATCAATGAGATCTCAAAGAAGGTATCAAAGAATTTGCTTATCTTCTTGTTTTCTACTCAAGTCACTTTTAAGTAATTAATGTAAGTTGGCATTTGAATGTTGGCCTAGTAATATCCATAATTCTTTTGCTAATTTAGTACCAAATATAAGCCAAGGTAGAAAGACTCCAAGATATAGAATAGAACATAGGTTGATTCTTCTTTTTCAAGAATGATGAAAGAAGTGTCATCAATATATTAGGCTCTTACTTGTCTTGCTTCTATTGGAAGACAAACACTCTTAATACTCTCTTCTTCTATTCTAGCTTTGGCTATACTATTAAAAATCTTTGCCTCCATTAGAAACAAATAAAGAGCTAGTGACAATCCTACCTTATTTGACATACAAACTTAAAAAGGAAGAGATAAAGTTCTATTAACCTTTATTGAAGCTAAAGTTTCAAAGAAGAATAATCTAATCATGGCTAAAAATTTTAGAAATATGCTAAAGGTACTTATTTCTAAAATTAAAAATTCCAATCTACTATATTATAGGCCTTAGAAAAGTCAAGTTTTAAAAAAATCATTGATTGATTCAATTGTAGAATCCATTCTATTATCCAATGGAATAAAAAAATATTATTCAAAATAAAATTCATAGAAAAAAATACTAATTGATCAAAAGAGATAATCTCTATTAAAATTGATTGGAGTTTGGAATGAAGAGCTTTAATATAGATCTTATAAGTTACATTCAAAAGTATAATGGAATATCAATTGGTGAGATGCCTCCTTTCTTTTTCTTTATAAAGTAAAGAGACTAGTCCCTTAGTCACATGAAGAAGAGAAAAGTTATTATTTACTATTGTAGTAATCATAAATAAGTAATCTTTTTTGATTATTGACGAATATTTAATATAAAATTCTATCAAAACTCCATCAATCTTTAGAACTTTTTTTCAAAGTCATTCTAGCCATAGCCTCTTTTGGCTCATTTATCTTCAGTAGACCCTCCAAACTTATAATCATGCTCCAAAAGAGTCTACTAGACATTGACCCTAAAGCTTCTATGATTGCCTCTCCCTTAGTCCTAGATTAAGAAGAGATAGTGCAAAGCTTCTAATAATAATTTGAATATGCTTCTTCAACCATATCTTAATTTGTCTAAACAATCTCTCTGTTATTCTTTAATTCAATAATGGCAGAGGCCCTTGAATGAGTTTGATTGGCTCAAAAAAAACTCTTTGGAATAGAAGTCTTCTACCTTCTTCCATCTAACTCTACTTTGAGTCTTTGATCCTCTGATTTTTGCTATTTTAGTAATTGAAGCTAATTGGGTATTATATTGAGTTCATTTTGAATCACTAAGTTAAGAAGGTCAATATATAAGGCTCAAAGTCTTGCAAAAGTCGTATTTCTTTAAATTTGAAGTTACAAGCTTTTTACATATAGTAAACTCAATAATATTTTACTATTCTTTGTAGCTTTTTAGTGAAGATTAGACTCAGGTTATCAACCTAGATTTACCTCAATCTTATTGTAATATTCACCTTCTCATTATCTAAATATGCAATAGTCATCTCATACACTAATGATTATAGTCAAACTATGAGTAATAAGATAAAATATTGAATTGATAAATGGTTGACTAAATTACAAACATCCCAAATAAAATATTCATAGATTGATGAAAGGCTTATATTGGCTTGTATAAAGACATAATCCTTATCAAGTCTTGCCAATGTCTATGTTGTGTCTCTCTTCCTATTATTCTAAGAGATACTAATCCTATTAAAAATAGAGTATAAATTAACTATTTCAAGAGCTAATGTTAGTGAATAAAAGATGTGTTTCTTGTCATTTGATATCAGCTTGCTATAGAGAGACAATTTATCTTTTTGGTGCTCAACCAAGTTCTAATCATCAAAGAGCATCCACTTGTAGTTACAAAGAAGTAAGAGAAGAGCTCCTTCCATAATGCACATTCCTTGGCTTTCAATGCCAACAATCTAGCTCCATAGAATTTGTGCTGTTCAAGACAATGCATATCTAGATATTCCAAAAGAAGACGGAAGTAATTCTAAGTTAAATCTACTTTATATAGATCAATTAGTCCTTGTATGTTAAGCAAGATTTATAATCTTCATAGATTTGAGTTAAAAAAAATACTAGAATTTTTTTTATTACTCTAAGATTTGTAGCTTGGACATTACTAGTTAGAGTATATTGACTTTATAGCACCAAATTTTAATATCAATAATTTATTTTTATTATATTTTTTTCAACTTGATAGTTGAAATTAGTGAGTTTTTGTACCTGAGGTGTCAAAAAACCACCATTTATCTTAACAAGACTATATTCCTAGAGTTACTTTTAAAACTGAGCATGTAGTTTTATTGAAAGTCTTTATATTAAGTTAGTGGGTGACCAAGGTATAATTGGACATGAGCCTTCTTGTGGGCTCCTCTTCACATTGATTTGAAGCCATGAAAGAAAGCCTTAAGATAGGTCACTTTGACTTACAGATAGGATTGATTACAATTGGATAAAGAAGCAATTATACTTGTTCTTTCTTTAGAAAGGGAGTTTAATTTTGACTCAACCATCACTCCTAGATTGGACACCTTGTTACTTTTGATACATAAATAATCTTGTACTGAGTGATTTATGACAAAACAAAAATGACAACAAATTAAAAGATTATAATAATTAATAGTA